TTTCACCAGGCTATCATAACAATGATTTGATTTCTACATTTCCAACTGAGAAATAAGAGATTACCATTCAATGAATCATGTTTTATTACAAAATAATAGATAATTTAAAAGAAATCTAGATACTGATTTCTGATGACTTTTCCTGTAATCTGTGAACAATAGAAAACTGCAATTGAATTATTTCAGTGAAAGATTAGGCATTTACATAATTAAATATCAACAAAACAGTTCAAGGTCTCTGATTTATTTATTTTTTCAGATGAGTAATCAGGAAAATTGCAGAGACAGACATTTGATTGTATTCTTTGACGCTATTCCTGAATGTACATACTATTCAAAATCAACCATAGCAAAATTCTGTCTATATTTCTGAGATGAGGTATTATGTACATTATTTACATTATTTGGACTATTGTCCTCGTCTTTGTCGCCATATTTATTACAACGTTTTGGCTGTTGTACATTCCGGCCTTCTTCAGGTGGTTGGAATGTCAAACTTAACCTTTTTTTTTCGCTCACTGGGATAGAAGAAGGCCAGAGCGTATAATGGTCGAAACATTGTAATAAAAATGGTGACAAAGATGAGGACAATAGTCTGAATAATGTAAATAATGTGCATAGCAAAATTGTTTGTTTTTCTTTTTGATGTAACTACTATTTATCAATGACATTAATAAGTTATCAGTAATATATTAAAATCATCGTTGCCAAATATTTATTTTTATACAGTGAGTATTATTTACTTTTTTTACTCACTTTTTTTTTAACCTTGTATAACAATTTTCTCTTATTTAAAGTACAAAACAATTACTTTTTGGGGCAATTCAGAAAATTACTAAGGGTATCCTTAAACTTTTGAACTGTAGTGTATATCAGACCTAAAATGGAGTATTGCTGCTTCATCTGGACTTGAGCTACCCAGTCTTCACTTTCCAACATTCATAGAGTTCAAAATCATTTATGTGACTTGTTGAGGATGATTTATTTTCCATCCTACAACCACCTTTTCCACAATGTCACAAACCTTTCACTATTTCCATGGCAAATATTCAGATGAGCACCAATTTTTAGTTCCACCAGTTCAGACTTTTACAGCTGAGATCTACCATGCTACATCCATGGGGTTGAATTACCCTCATTCCCTTTCTATTCTATTTGTAAGAAGGAAGTTCCACTCAGCTACTTTGTGAAACAAACTTCTGAGTAGATGCTTCTCTGATGACTACACTGTTAACTTAGTCAAGAGGCACTCTTATCTATCCTCTATATCCTCATAATCTTCATTTTCTACTTCCTCCTCTCATGTCCACACATCTTAGGTGGCTTCTTGGCATTGTATTGGGAGAACATTAATGTGCATAATAAAAACAAAATTTTAAAAAGAGCTTTGTAAACCTCTAATCATCTTGGAATAACCCAGCATTGTTATAATGCTGTTACCTGGCATTGGCAGTGCAAAGAAGAGATAACTGTGAAACTTGGTGTTAAGGGAAATAATTCAAATACAGTAAAAATTTATTTAAAAAAACTTGTGTGTGTGAGTTTAAAATTTGATATATTTATGGATGGAGAATGTTCAATATTTGGATTAGAACATCATCAGACTATGGTCTAAAGTTCTATAACATCCAGTCACAATACTGTGTTGATTTTTAGTCCACTTTATACATAAATATACATCATATATATATATATATATATATATATATATATAAAATCTAAAACAAAATGTCTGAGAGAGTGAAAAGATGGATACGCAAAAATAGATTTAAGGTCAGTTTTTGGTGCATCCACTGAAGATCAAAATTGCTTTTAATAGATTTTGAGCCCATAATATTTTCTTATGTTTGATGGAGTACAGGACAAATGTCATATTATTTTTTTTAATACTAACTGATATATTATTTCATATAAAGGTACTTATTTATATCATTTAAGAAACAATTGGATGACCACCAAAGTCAGATGCTGAGATTTTATTGCTAACTTGACCTCAGCATACCTGATTAAAATCAGTTTGTCATTAAAAGAAAACAAATAGGAGACCTATTTTATGGCTCCAAGGTTACGTATATGCATGGATCTGGTATTTACATACTGTGTTGGAGAACATCTGTTGGAATTGTGAGGTGTTACTGGGATCTCCTGGGTTTAGGGTAATGATGCTTTAACTCAGAAACCATGCCTGAACCTAGATGAATGCTTTATTGGAAGCAGTTGTATGGATTTATTTATATAACTGCCAAAAGTATTTTACAGACATGATACTGACTACACTTGTATTTTTTGAAATAATAATTTAAAGCCAATTTTTCATTTTAGTGAATGTTTAATAATAAACCTAAATATTGAATTTAAGACATAACTTGATGCAATTAGAATAGCAGCTGTGTGTCTTACCGCTTACAAGTGCTTCTTCAATGATATAAATCATGTTAACATTTGAGCGATCTTTTCCTTATATAGAAAAGTTGGACTGTATGGATACTTATTGCTTATACTTATCTATGAAAAATTATTTCAGAGAAACTTAAAAATCTGAAAAATCTTGTTGGTGTTTCATCTTTAAGTCTTTCTTGGTCTTGGAAATTGCAAGGCTTGTGGCCATCCACTGTTGTTGAATGCAAAGTGTCTTATAAACTTCAGACTGAAGAATGGAAGGTAAGTTATTTAAGTTACTATCCTTTTATAAAAAATCTTTGCTGGAAAATGATGGGTTGGTTAAAATATAAATATAAATAAAAAATCATTCTATTTGCTGGCTTCACTTTTATTTGGGATTTTTGAAAAAACTTATCTGAATCAATAAAATATTTTAATACTAATCAAAGAATATCTATACTATTTTAAAGTTTTACCTGTATAGAAATTTGTGATAAGAAGTAAAATTGAAAATTGTAATTGCCAAATTCATTTCAAATGCTTACATTGTTTACAGTGTGTCCCAACATTTAATAATTATAAAACTACTGATTGGAAAGTCACAAAATTTTGGTCAAATTTAATTCATTTATGTATGTGAAATATCTTGATGTTTTAAGTTGTAGTATGAAATAGAATTGAGTTTATGTTTAAATATATAAAGAATATTTTTATACTGTTCCAAATTTTATGCATTAATTTTAAAAAAAATCAATATAAGACCATGTTAGAATAAAAAGTGAAAGCCATTGATTAACCTAACAATTTTTCAAAAAAATTATATACAAATTTGTTCATAAGTTGGGTGCCACAACAAAACAGAAAAGTAATCTTATTTAGGAGTATAATTTCTATTTAACTCCTATTCCCTTGCAGTGAAGAAAATGGCAGATTACCTACTCAAACTTAGCGACAGCATGTCATGTGTATTCTAGATCAGAAAAAAAAGAAAGTGTGCGCATGTTTCATGTTTATATACGAGAATGTCATACAAATTTTGATTGCGCCTCAACCAATCACTGTCTTTGCAACCTAGATATAAACAGGTGACCCGTGAATTGGTTCTGAGACGTTACCCAACATGAAGGAAAATTTTTTGAAACGAGCAGCTGCTGTATCAAAGTTTATCCTCTCAAAATTCTACATCTCTCTAATGGCTTGAAACAACCTCTGCTGTCAACAGAAGAAATTAATTTGAGAATTTCTTCAGTAATGTCTTTGCAAACAACTAATATTACAAAGCAAAAGTTAATTTTTGAATGCAAATTGATGGTTGCTCCCATAAATATGCCTCTCAACAATAATCCAATGGTTCTGAATGCATTTAGGTATAGGGAACATGGCAGCCATACAATACATTTAGTTTTTAAAACCTAACTTACCTAATGATTCATGAGTTGAAGTAACAGTGTGAACTGGAGTGTTGGCAGACATGAAATATTTATTCGAATGCTATAGTCTTCTACTTAGGCCATGTCTGAAGGATTTTAGGAATTTAGTGTAAGCAGAAGAGGTCATTTTAATGCCATTACCCATCTTCCAGGTGCAAACAACTCTTTACTAATAATTCCCACATAAAAGATCCATCTCCTTGCTGACACCTCAGCTGAACAGACTTAAGTTCTTCCTTCAAGCACCACCCATTTTGTCAACTGCTGGGACTATTCAGCATCACTCTACATTTAAGTGTGAATAGCAATTTCTGTAATTCCAGTTTCATATACGGTTTGGTGCAGGCAACATGTTTAATAAAAAGATTTTACTTCAAAGGAGAGTGAACAATTGGTTTGATGTATGTTTCTAAACATTTTAGTATCCAGCATCATGGCATTTTAGGCACATTGCAAACTCTAATCATATTGAATATCTCTGTACTATTAAATTTTTAAATAGATTACCATTCATAAGTTAAAAACCAAAGATTTCTTTATCTTCCTTTTGCCAGTGTGCCCACTATATACAGTTGTGTTTGTAACAAATTTCTTGATTGTACAATGATCTCTTGCAATGAATACAGCACAATTTCTAATATTGTTTAATAATTGTGAAGCATTTGAACAATTTTGCTTTGTCATCATTGCTCAAAACATGCTTTACAGCCCATGTTGCATAAAAATTGAAACAGTAGCAATATGAAGAAATATCACCAAAATACTACAGAGCAGAACCACATGTTATTAGACACAAATGCACGTCAGTCCTACCAAACTTTTAGATGAATTAAGTTCAAATATATGCAGTCAATAAGATATGTGAAAAAATGTAACTTTCATAAGGTGCTAGAATGCACTGTAGATTACATTTGTTTTGTGATGCATTTTTAAAGTACATTTTAATTACTACATTTTAAACATTTTCTACTTGTATCTTATTTCATACTAATATTTAACAAACTGATATGATACAATAAATCAAAAATTAATAAATCATAAATAAATTAAGACTCTTGATTTATTGTTTGATGCCAGTTTGCCAAAAGAATGAATAATGTTTAATTTAAATTATCTATTAATATTCATTTAAATATATATTATAATAAATGTCATAGAAATTCCAGAATGATTGGAGAGTTTTGAAAATTAAAGAATGGTAGTTGGGGAATAGAACTAATTTCTAATTTTGGGTTAGCATTTGTCATTAGAAGATATGTTTCAGAAAATATTTGACAAACATTGAAAAATATTTTTGTTTAATAAATTTATTTATTTTTTTAGAGTTATTTCACAAATTCCAACAACGTGACACTCAATAATTTTGTTCCCAGCAAGATCTATACTTGCTCTTCAGTGTAAATTCCAGAAGTGATTATTGGACTGACACTATTACAGTTCAGGAGAAAACTTTGTCTTAACGTAAGTGTCCTATTTACAAAAAAAAAAAACTGGTGAAGTATAATCAACTGAGACAACTATTTTTTTTAAAGTAACCATTTTTAAAGTAACCATCCTGCAGATCAGTACATTATCAAATTTTAAAATTGACATAAATTTTTAGAATACTTTGTTTGATTAATATTGAAATATCAACTATTTCAGGTGAAAATATTTTTATGGATTTATTTTTATAACTCACTGTTGTAAAATCTTTGAAATAATTTAAATAAATTAATGTAAATTTTCATGTCACCATATTTTTTATTCAGCCTTAAATATTGGCACTGAAAATATGAAATAAATAAGGTCACAAATTCTCTGATGTTATTTTGCCATGGAAAAATCCATCTCCAGATTTGAATATCTTTTATTTTGTAACCCATAAAGTCATATAATACTATTTTTTATTTGCTTTTGTGTTTATAAAATACAAAGCCTTCTTTATTTCTTCCTTTTATTTATAAAATAATTTTGAATTTCATTTTTATATAAATACAATACAATACAGCATAACAGAAACTAAAATATTTATATAATAATTTTTTCTATTTCAAAAGAGATCAATTCTGAAAAATAATTAATATAGCTTAAAAAATAATCTTTAAAATAGTAAGATGCTTTGGTAAAGAAATAATGTACTGATGCATATTATGACTCCCATATTCTTCATTAACAACCTTCAAGATGTGAATTTACACGAAGTGAGATTTAAAATAAATAGAAACAAATTTAGAAAAAATGTTGAATCACAAAACAGGGGAGATAACTTTATGTGAATGATTTCTGGGTTCAATGAAAAAATATTCAAAATTCACCTATAATAAATATTATTTATATTAAAGATTCCTTGAATTGAAGTAATGTAAAGTTCATAATTTTAAAAAAGATACATACTTGATGAAATGATTTATGACATTATAATTATAATATTTTTATGTTTCATGATGTTTCTTTATCAGCACCTTATTAAGAATATTATTTATATATCTAAAACAGGATGTGTATCACATACGTATGTAAAAGTTTTCACATGAAATTTGTAGGCTCATTGAGATAGCGAAAGTTGACTTCTAAAAGCTAAGCAAAGTATTAAGAAACTTAAAAATTTTGTTAGAAACAAAGAGTACTGAACTGTTATGTAATATCAGTCCTCCTATATGGCAATGAATGCTAGACAATATTCTCACAGATGGAAAAGAGTCTTAAAGCTACAGAATTGTTATTCTACAGAAGGATGCTGAGAATGCCATGAACTGAACATATGAGCAATGACGAAGTTTTATACAAAATGGAAACAAAAAGGACACTTAAGTATGCATCAGGAAGAGGCAATTGAAATTTCTAGAGCAGATTCTGAAGAAAAGGGGCTTGGAAAATTTGATACTCATAAGACAGATTGAAGGCTGTAGTGAAAGAGATAATCAGCTACCTCAAAAAAGAGTTTATGTTTTTTGTGTAATTTGCCAAAGAAAAATTACCAAAAAGTAGTTAGCAAAAATTTACTTTAAGGACCAGAATCTATGCTAATGTTCTCCCCTCCCCTGAATGACATGACCAATCAGAAAAATCTCTCAGTGATTAAAAGCCGTTGTTTTTCACTTATGTGACAGATTTGATTTTCTGAGTGAATGATCTGTAGTTCAATTGGGGCCAATCTGCTGCCTAAGTAGTATTGCATTTTACTTCAAGTGGTTTTATGTGTTTTGGTTCGGCTTGCGTGTTTGATGACTTTAAAAGTGAACTGTTAAGTTTTTTAATGACTGACGACAATATCTTAACTACACCGACGCCAGTTTCACCAGTTAAAATGACCTGGTATGAAAATAGGCTGAAAATGAATGATACGGCCTATTATGTTGCTCAAAGGGGAAAATTTGAGGAGTCATTTAAAGGCAATGAATTCCTCACCATACCAGAAGCCCTCAAAGCAGTGAACACTCGCATAATATCTCTGCTGACCTCTAACATTAAAACACGGAAATTAATTGGGGTCAGTAGGGAAAACATGGAAGATGCCTTGAAGACCCTACACATCATTCCCAAAGTGTTAGCCAGGAAAACAAATGCTCTATGGGATATTCTCCTACCTACAGAGCAGCAGGCGAGAGACTTGGCAGGAAGTGTGTTAAACACTAAAACATTGAGACTACAGACAGAGTACATTGGCACCAGCAGGACAAAAATTACAATACATGGATATCTGTGAGGACAAGATGGGGGCCTTTTTCTCAAAATACGAACAAGTAAATGAAGTGAAGGTCTTCATCAACAAAGCCAGGATAGCTACCGGTGACCTGGAGCTACAACTCATGGTAAACTGGAAAAGCTTTGGAGAAATTCCAAATATAGTGGTTTGCTGTGAAAAAAAGATGTTAGTGGTGGTGGAGGGCCAGAGACCATGTTGTTGTGCCCCAGTAAATGTACACAATTTCCACCTTATCCAGCAACGACAACAGCAACAACCGCAGTAGTAGTCACAGTGGAGGAGGGAACATTGACAAAGAACACTGATGAGATCTGAAAGGAGGTAAAAAGGAGCCAGAAATTGACTAACGTGCCCTCTCCCCAACCAAAGCAGCAACCACCACTGCTGCAGGAGCAGCCTGAGAAGCAGAAGCAGCCACAAAAGGAGGTGCAGCACAAAGAAGCACCACAACAAAAACAGCTGCAACCAAAGCAGAAGCAACAGCAAAAACAACAACAGCAACAATAACAAAGAAGCAGCATACGGACACACCAGTGGAGGTGGACATAATGCCTCCATCTCAGGCATCATCCCTGAAGAGAAGCAGAGAGAAGAAGATGAAAATGGCCATAGTAGGGCAGAGAGGGTCATGGACAAAACCAGATCGCTCTCCGTCTCTGCTTTGCCAAAAGAATTTTATTGCCAAGAGCAAGGAGCCTCTCTGTTTCCCCTTCCCGTGCTCTGTACCCCCTCTCCCTCCACCTCTGTGGAATACCTCAAAGTGTGGAACCACCTGTTCAAAGCAAAGGAGGCATACCCAAACATAAGAATGCTTGAACTGGATAACGCCAATTTGAAAAAACTAAGACATTTTTGTGTGGGGAGGGTCCCTGTTTTGCTTCATCCCTCCTCATATAGGGCAGTCAAGCTAACCTACCCCACAGATGTTGGCAGGATTGTCCTGGATGGTCAGATGATGATGGAGTTGGGCGCAGGGAGCCTGAGAAAATGCATTGGGGTCCTTTCTGCTGCAGATTCCCACCCAGTATCTGAGCAGGTTTATTCTTATTCTTTTAATTTCAGGGCTTGAAAGATGTCAATCAAGATAGCCAGTCTGAATGCGAAGGGCTTGAGGGATCAGGGTAAGGCTGCCTGCCTGCTCCATGACCTCTTGTCGTTCAGAGTGGATGTTGCCGTGATCCAAGAGACCCACTTTGTTTGCAGTGTCAATGCGTGTGTGCTGTCTAATGAATTTATCGTCTATTCAGCATATGGGGATCGATATGCTAGGAGTTTCTTTGCTGGTTAGCTGTACTCTGGATGTGAGGGTGGACCTTGTTCATGTTGATGCCAAGGGTCAGTTGATCGTGGCCAATATTGCCGTGAAAAGTGGTTTATTCTGGTTTATGCGCCCAACGACCACGAGGAGAGGTTCTCCTTTTTTCGGGAATTGGAGCCAATTCTGGTGGATTCAACATGTCTAGTCTTAATGGGGGACTGGAATGCCATCCTAGACAATTTAGATAAGGGGCGGGGAGCTAGAGGGAAGAGGGGCAATCATAGCTTGGTTAATCTGATCGACGAGTTTGGTCTTGTCGATTGATACCAGGTCAATCATCCTGGGGGGGGATGTGGATGTGGGCTCTTAATTGGCCTTCTAACCAGCTGGTTAACTACCTGGATAGAATGTTAGTCAGAGGAGCCGATGTAGATCTACTAGATTGTCCTACATTCCACTGGGTAGGCTATTCGGACCACAAACTCTTTTGTGCCCGGATGGCATTAGATTCTAGGCCTAGACTGGCTGGCTACTGGAAGTTCAATCTGTCTTTACTGGACAGGCGGGACTTCCAGGGACAGCTAACTAGCTTAGTGCAGCAGGAACTAGTGGGGCTGGTTATCGGGAATAGATGGTGGGAGAGGCTTAAGAATAGGATTAGGTCCTTCACCACCAAGTTTAGCTAACAGCTCAGACTAGATAGAGCTAACAAGGTGAAAGCTCTTAAGGATAGTCTTTCCCGTGCGGTGTGTGGGGGGGATACCCTAGAGATAGCCTTATCTAGGGAGGCTCTGGAGCATTTGACTAGCGAGCGCTATATGGGCCAGGTAATTAGACATAGGTTAAGCAAGATGTCTTCTGAAGCTGTGAACATGGGCACAGAATTGCACAAGAAAGAGATCCATCAAGGCTCTGATTGGTACATTCGTGAGGTCAAAACCCTAGAGGGGCATACTCTTCGGGCCACTGACAACATGTGCAAGGCATTTTGGCGGCATTTAGAGTTGGTTTGCCAAGGAGTTTAGTAGCTATTTGGCTGACTTTCCTCAGCTTTCACCAACTGAAGCAGCTAGCTGCAAGGGAGAGATCACAGAGGGTGAAATCTATGCAGCATTGAAGGTCAGCAGAGGCAAGTCACCTGGATGGTTTGCATTATGAATTGTACTTGAGGCTGTCGCACATCTTTGTCCCGATTTTGACTGTCGTGTTCAACAACTGGTTCCGCCAGGGGTCCATCCCCGACCGGTTCACCAGGGGTGTGATCACGCTGTTGAAAAAGGTCAAGGGTGTTGGTTGGCATTTAGACGACTATAGGCCCATAACTGCTAAACACAAAGTTAAAGATTTGGGCCAAGATCCTGCAGAGTGTTTGCAGTCATTTGCCGAGTCTCTGTTGGGTCCAGAGCAGACTTACGCTGTGAAAGGCCGAACAATTCAGAGCAACCTGCATCTGATCCACATGATCATAGAGGATGTAAAAGACGATGAGGCTGCGCTGATTAATTTAGATCAGTCTTAGGCATTTGATAGGGTTAACCATCACTACCTTGCTGCTGTCCTGGATTCGCACCCAACTTTTGCCGCTGGATTACCCTGCTGTATCACTCCCCCAGTGCTGTGGCACAGGTGAATGGGAAGCTGTTGAGCGTTTTTGCGCTGTCTTGGTCAGTTCATCAGGATTGTCTACTGTCGCACCTACTTTATGCTTTGGTGTTGGAGCTTCTCCTTTGCCCATTGAGGGACAGTGCATACAGTCCGGCCATACGTGGAATTGTTGTCCCTGCAGGGGCTCAAGCCAGGGTTTCCACGTACGTTGATGATGTATCCACTTTCAAGTTGTTCCGCAGTGACATTGAGGTGGTAATGAAGGCGCTTGATTGGTATGAAAAGGTGAAAGGGGCCAAGATTAACTGTGACAAGTCGTCCGGCTTGCGATTAGGTGCCTGAAAGTGGGGGGTCGATCTTGTGCCATAATTGTATTTATATACAATAAATGTAGATTTGATTTTCTGAGCTTGGTGGACGAACACACGTTTTTGCTGGTGAGAAGTGAAGCTTGGATTTGTCGTTTCTACGTTCCCTGCTGGACTGTTACAACAGACTATTGTTTGAACTGTGATTTGGCTGCAAGTGTTGTGGTCATGAGACAGAAGAAATCTATTGCAGACGTTTATTGCTACTATAAGTTAACAGTTTTTTTTCTTTTCTTTACAACTACAAAGGCAAAAGGGACAGAAAAAAACCTACCCAGAGACAACGAGTAAATGGATGCCAGAGCAAGGTTTAGGAGTGATAACAAAAAGAAAAAATGTATTTTATTTATTATTTATAAAGGACAGGAAATTGTGGAACGCCATGATCGCCATTATCCAGAAAGGAAACAGCACTTCTATTTCTTCTTCTTCTTCTTCTTCTTCTTCTAAGTCAACAATAGAGCAACAATTTATGCAATGGCTTTGAAAAATATATATCCCAGATCATTTAAATATTTTTATAAACAAAATTAGTTCTTGATGATAATTCCAATGTCACAAATATGATAGCTGAATTTAAACTTACAGTGATGGAAAAATTATTTTCATCATTTTACTACTACTGTAACTGAAAATTTAAGTAAATGTAATAAGTTTATTTGCTTGTAAATAAATCTAATTATTCAAGACTAAAATCCTCAGTCACTAAAAAACTCAAAAGTGTTCTCAGAAGAAAGAAATACAAGATTTCCAAATACAGGTAACGCTATCCATTGTGAGTATGTTACAAAACAAAAACAATACATAGCAACTTTGAAAACCTTTTAAAATTTTCAGTTTCAAAGAAACCAGTAGTGTATTATTTATCAATTTAATCAGTCGTTTTAACAACTTTGTTATAACATAAAAATTATCAAAATGTAGCTATTTATTACTAAGTTGTGTCCCCCTCAATTACTTCTTTTTTTTTTTGTAATTTTCTTTAATTCGTATATATGAAAGCTTGGCATTTTAGAATTAAAATTTTATTAATTTTTATAGTTTAAGAAGATGTAATGTCAACTTTTAAAATGAAGTAAAACGCATAACTAGTTAAAAAATGCTTCTTTTCAGAGAAAGATGAAATTGATTAATAACCACTATTTGTAAAAAATTCTCTTGTAATAAAATATTGTTTATATTTTATTTTTAATTATCGCCTTTAGAACTTATCGGGGGAATCAGCTTAAGAGTTATCAGAGATTTCTGCTGTAAGTTTTGACTTATTTAATATATTGGCTTATGTATTATTCTTGTTTTAAAAATTCTTCGTAAAGCTTTTTTTTTTTCACTTTTGAATTCATAAATGTTCATAATAAAGGAAATACATGACTATATTGGATCATTTTCTCTTTGTAGAATTTTACAATAAATACATGGAAATAAATCTCATTTATCAATTTTTCCATTACATTTTATTGATAATCAGACATAATTATACTCTTATTTAAATAATTGATCTGTACAATTTTTTGGTTTCTGTAAAAGTAAAATTTAGAAAAATTTTTCATAATTACAAATGGATTGACTTTTGTGTGACTGAGTTATGATCCATGTTTGAGCTTTCATTTTTTTCAGGAAAACATTCATCACTTATGTCTCCAATGAAATATCATAATGTACTAGCAAAATGTTAATATTCACAAATTTGATACTCATTAAATTATAATCATTTCTTTTTTTCCCTTCTTTTTCAGAATGGTGTTGAAAATGACTGTACTCTCCAATAAGTTTCTACATGTAAATCGGACGTGCTCACAAGTTTTTCATTTTAATATCTTTAAAAAGACTTAGTAGTTAGCAAGAATTAAAGGCTTTATTCTTGAAGTTCCCTGCTCCAAGTATAATTTCCCTTTAAAATTTGTTCAAGTAATTATTAAACATGTAAATGAATTCCTAACTGCAAAAGGATTATAAAAGAAGTGACCATGTGCAAAAACAATGTTTCATGTTTAATACCAACAATTTAATGTTCCAAGCAGCAAATCAAATAGCTTTTAATACAAGCAAGTACTAGTTTCTGAGCTGCACAAAATGTGCCTCACATCTAACTTCAGTCTGTACTTTAAAATAAAATTGATCATTGATTTAACTTATAAACTAAATACCTATATAGCCCTTATGTAAATCAACTAAATACCTATATAGCCCTTATGTAAATCAACTTAGAATTTTTTAACTTCAATCAGTATCATATTGCTATAGATTTATCCAAAAGTTCTGTGAATTAATAGAAAAATGCAAGCCATATATTTATAAGTATTTTTAATGATACAAAACCTAAATAAAGCATAAAGAAGTAGAGATATTGAAATTAACTATCAAAAGAAATAGGTGGAATAATTCCTCTTAAGCAGCCAGCTTTTTGATCAACTCCCATCAAAAAAGATCATTAATAAATTTTTTAAAATATGTAATGAAAAATTATTTTAACAAAATTTTTAATAATCTAAACAAGCATTAAGAATAATTTTAATAATTCTTAAATGCATATTTGCAGTATGTCTTCAATTGTTCGCATATTGCATAGATATGTTTTCATCAAATATATAAAAAACAATAAATTATATTATTTTTTAAATTTTAAACTCTATTTGATAACTGTAGAATAATATTAAAAAGCAAAAATGTTTCCTCCATTTTAAACTTTAAGTTACTTTAATTTTTTGCCAAAATTTAGCATATTTTTTTCAACTGTTGGCTCTATATAGCAGATTTTGTGATTCAAACAGGACAGTAAATATTAAATGAAACAGAATTTTTTTAAGGATGTTACATTATTAAAAAGGTTTTGTATGCATTCACAGAACATCTCTGTAGTAATATCCAGTTACCCTATAATACTCAAATAAGTAGACTAAGTAATTAAAATTTCACTGAAAATTTACTGATGAAAATCATTAGCAAATTTTCTTCCACTACTGATTATATTTTATATACAGTTCATTTTTTTTTTATTTTATTTGGATATAAAAACATTGTTCTTGCAAATATTTGTCAATTCTGAACTTTATTTGCAACAAATAAATTGTAATAACTTCATTTTAAATAAATTACAAGTTTTTAAGAATTTGAATTTTGTTTGAAAGTTTGACTTTTTGGTATTCCAAGTTTTGTTTTATAAATTGTTTATTTTCAATTGTACGTGTACGTTCTTAATTTTTTAGTAAATATATTTTTTTCATCACTTATTTCTCATACTTTAAGTTATCTACACAATAATTTTTTAAAAATCACTTAACACTAGTAACACTAACTTAACTTTACTGCAATGAAGCAACCACGTGATTAGACATAACAAATCGATTGTATTCGTACCAGTGGCTGGAAGAAGCAAGGTTTATTGACTTGCTTTTTCGCTCTGTTTTGCCTAACGTCGATGATTACTCGTTACATGGTGCCCGTCATTATTAACTGTCTTTTTTTTTGTTGACATTTTCCTCAAACATATTCTCTCTAGAAGCAACCACCGCCAGTTTTACCATGGCTATGGACTTCAAGAAGATGAATGCCATCCATTTGTACTTGACAACCTGTCGTTACGTATTACAAGCGGACGAATATGTGACCGAACTGTACGGTCTATTATCCTACTTGCGTCAAGCCCTGTCCTGTTGTGTTTGCGGCCAATTACTTCGTCAGCCCCTCGGCCCCAAACCTAATGTGTGTCAACATTTTGTCTGCAAGGACTGTATCGGTAGTAAAATGAAATTGAAGCCCTCATGTAGTTGGTGCAAGGATTCTTCGGAATTTGTCGAAAATACCCAGATATTGATATTGGTTCATTGTTTTAAAAAGCTTTGTGAATATCTTTACAGTTCGAGATTTGTTCGTAATCTGATTCAATCGAACGGAGAGACAAATGGATTGGTGCTTTTAGTTCAAGAAGCTATCGCTTTCGATGAGAATTATGCTTCTTCTATAGAAGGGAAACTCTCTGTTTTACCTTGTATGGAATTACTAAAAAATTCCCAGAAGAAAGATCCTCCAGGACATAAAACCTTAAAAAAGAAGCTTTCTCAACAACCAGCTTCGTCACGTAATATTTCTTCTCCCTCCAGGGCTTCTTTGCCATTATTTTCAGAAAAACGAGGAACTTCATACACTATGAGTACCAGTGAAGAAATCGAATCTGTATTGCCTAGAACAACCACTGATCAAGAAAGCAGAAATGGTTTTAGCTCAGGGAAAACGAACAGGAATAATCAGCAGAATATCCCAGCGGGGAAGGTCCATGTGAAATGTGCCCCAACCCTGGAAAGACGAAAACGATCATTATGGAACAGCCGTGGCGAATTGGCTTGTCTCGAACCGGGCCACCGAGACGACGATGACGATGATGATCAAGAACAAAATATAATCGAAATACAAAAACATAATTCTACTGTTAGTACTCTGGAATTATTCTCGAACGTTGACACACCTGATTCTTCGTGTAAAAAATTAAAAGTTAGTATGAAAGAAAGTAGATAGTATGTCTAGTCAATTTTTAACAGTTTTCGGGAGTTTGGTTTCAGCAGCTTTCGTCCTACGCGCATTGAGTTCAACTAATCTTTTTTTTTTTTTTCCTTTAATTTTAGTCTTTTTCAGACAAAATAAAGAAAAAATGATATCAGAAATTGAAAATACATTCATAACAAATGTAACACTACATTTTTTTGTTTTCTACAATCTTGATAGGTGAAGTGAAGTAAAACTACGCACAATTTTGTTAAAAAGAGTATGAAATATTTAAAAATCACGTTTACAATGTTAAAAAAAAAAAAAACCTTATGATCAGCAGGCAGCAAGTACAATACGAAGTGTATTACAAGCAGGAAAAACAAGAACCAGTCTTCCATTTTCCGCTTTTATTCTATTTTGTTTTTTCTTCAACTCCCAATCGTAATATGAGTGATGGTAAAAAAAACAAAAAAAAACAACGTCTACCAACATTACAAGAACATTCTTTTTATGACACTAAAAAAAAAAAGTAAGTCAGTTGTGTAAATTCAATTTTAGTAAGTTATTTCAATTATTTATTGAAGAATAAATTTTAGAATTATAAACAAAGTGATTTATTTTTGACATTGTTTTTTTGTGTCTTTTTTAAAAATTTTATTTTTGTTTGTAATTCAACTCTTTATTAAAAAGTGTAAGTAAAATGTTTCTTTTAGCTGTTTAAGTTTTTTTTTTTTTTTTAAACATTTGTATAGACTAGCGATTCGAAAAATATTAAGTGCACAAATATAACTTTAAGCACAAAAAAGTTTGATGATCATAAGTAGCTTCTTATTTATTAAAAATGGAAAAATAAGTTTGTGGAGTGGGGGAGGGTAAAGATAATCGGAAAACATTTCTTTAAAACTGAAAAGAAAACTTCTGAAAGCAAACACGTTAAAATTCTTCTGTCAACGTTTACAATTCGAATGCAACGAAAAATGTCCATTTTTGCTTTATTAGTTGGATTATTGTATAGACAAAAAAAAATTAATGATTTTCATTTCTATGCGAAAATGTTTAAAAAAAAGTAAATCATTTAAAAATTAAGGGAGATGTGAGTTATTTATTAATGTTAGTTAAAATTTGGATGAAAGTGAATGCTAGTGAAAAATAAAAAAAGATTGCCCCTTTTTTTTTTTTTGTGAAACAAAAAGAAATTCTATTAAAAAATTGCACAAATTTTAAAAAATATTAATAATATAAAATGTTAATTCAATTGAGAGATCCCATGTTAAAACTGAAGTCTTTTTTTCATTTCCCCTGATGAAATCTTACATTACAATTTGACAATACATCATGGTAACAAAGATTAAAGAAAATTTGACAGATTTGATTGAGACATTTTTAGTAAAATGGATTCTGCATACTGCAATTTGGACCAGTTATTTTCACAATATTTGTCAAGTATGTTCAGTTGAATGATAAAGCTAAAACCAATCTTGTCTCTAGATACGCAACAAATCATTTTAATATTTATCTGCAACTTTAATCAAATATTAAAAAAATCTTGTCAAAATAATATATAAAATGAGTAAACAGTAAGTCAACTTAAAATTTTCATACAGTTTTAGAAAATATTTATTCAGCTTTCAAACAATTTCTGATAAAGTAAATAAAACTATACTAATTTTAAATCAAAATAAGATTACTCTTTGTAACTGCAATAAATTAGATTTTCCACACAAAAGATGATATTAAGAAATGTCTTTAACTGGTATAAAAGAGTGAAAAAGAAAATGCTTTTTGCTTCAATTTCATGTCTACAGTACAGATGCATGGAATCCAGCAGTTCATGAGTCCAGACATCAAAATTAGCATTGATTGTTGACATTTTGATGTACTTTTTTTCTGAATTTAATGTTAAACTTTGTTTTTAAAACAATAATTTTCTAAAACTCGCAAAGACCTTAACATAAAAATTTTACTTACTCAGTTTTACTCAAATCCAGATATTTTAAATTTTGTGAATAATGTACATGAAACCTATTTTACATAGAGCAAAAGTCTATTTGCTTAGTATGTAACTTCATTAGTGAAAACTTGTATTAAATCATTTTCACAATCAACGACAGCTGATATTTACTAATGGCAAAGCCAAATCCTAAAATAGATAAAAATCGTCAGATATTAAAACCCTTTTGAAATACAAAAATCAAATAAAAGTCTCATATTTGTCATTTTGAAAGTTAAAACTTATTAAACATTATTTCTAACAAATATTTTAGCAATGAATCTTTTCTAATGTGGT